AAAGAACAACATGGGCACCATGGACGTCCCAGAAGAAGGAACAACATGGGCACCATGGACGTCCCACAAGAAAGAACAACATGGGCACCATGGACATCCCAGAAGAAGGAACAACATGAGCACCAGGGACGTCCCAGAAGAAGGAACAACATGAGCACCGTGGACGTCCCAGAAGAAAGAACAACATGGGCACCATGGACATCCTAGAAGAAGGAACAACATGGGCACCGTGGACGTCCCAGAAGAAGGAGCAACATGGGCACCATGGACGTCTCAGAAGAAGGAGCAACATGGGCACCATGGACGTCCCAGAAGAAGAAGCAACATGGGCACCATGGACATCTCAGAAGAAAGAGCAACATGGGCACCATGGACGTCTCAGAAGAAGGAACAACTTGGGCACCATGGATGTCCAAGAAGAAGGAACAACATGGCCACCATGGACGTCCCAGAAGAAAGAAAGAACAACATGGGCACCATGGACGTCTCAGAAGAAAGAAAGAACAACATGGGCACCATGGACGTCTCAGAAGAAGAAATAACATGGGCACCATGGACGTCCCAGAAGAAGGAACAACTTGGGCACCATGGATGTCCAAGAAGAAGGAACAACATGTGCATCATGGACATCCCTCAAGAAGAAAAAAGAAAGAGAAACACAGAAGTCATGTGAATAAACAAGGGTTGAAAATGTCCCAAATTTGAGCAAGGACACCAATATAAACATCTAAGAACCTCAATAAACTCCAAGTAAGATGAACTCAAAGAGCTCCACACTGGGACACATTATAATCAAACTTTAAAAAGACAAAGTCAAGAGAGAATCTTTCTCTAAAAAAAGAAACCTGCCTAAGATTTTTCTGTGATAGATTTAGGGGGTACAAGTGTCTCTTTGTCACATGGATGAGCTGTATAGTGGTAAAGTCAGGTGTTTTAGTGTGCACTGAACTTGGTAAGTAACTTTTGATTCCTCATGTTCCCTTCCCCTCTTCTTAATTTCCAGTGTCCACTACATCTTTTTATATGACCATATATACCCACTTAAAAGAACATGTGGTATTTGCTTTTCTGTTCCTGAGCTACTTCACTTAAGATAATGGTCTCAAAGAGAGAATTTTGAAAGCAGCGAGAAAGAAGCAACTGGTCATATACAAAGAATCTTTAATAAGATTGTCAGCATGTTTCAGACATTTGGAGGCTAGAAGGCAGTGGGCTGATACATTCAAAGTTCTAAATGAAAGGGGCAACACTCCCCCCACCCCCAACCAAGGATCCTATATCCAGCAGAACTATCAAAAGTGAAGGAGAGCTGGGTGTGGTGGTTCACACCTGTAATCC